GGGAGTTGTTGTTCAGCTCCAGCCTTGAGCCCACAGCTGGCACCAAGGGGTGGCTGCATTATGATGGTAATTTTTTCAGCAGTGTCAGAGTGTCAATTTTTTCTTTTTCTTTTTTTACTTTCGCTCAGAGGTGTTATTCTGAGTATTCACAGCAGCTGTAAAGCACGAGGGAGGGGCTAATAATCAGCTCAGTCATTTTTAATGATCGTTGAAAGCCCAGATCGTAATTTAGATTAAAATTCGATTAATTGAGCAGCCCTATCGTCAGTCACACTCCATTAGAAATGGTCATGCACTGCATTGTGAGTCATGATAGACACAAAATCCAATTTAAGTAGAAACTGAACTCCCACTGACAAACAAAAAACCTCCAAATAGTGTTTAAATATGAGTCTCGTGAGTTTTTTGCTGTCCAGACTTTAACCGTGTGAAGAGGACCAAAGTGAATTTGACCCCTGTTCCTGAAATTAAACAGAATTTCTGTATCCAGGAGTTCATCTCATTTCTCATTTCCAGAGCCAACTTCCTGTGGAGCTCGCCAAAACAAGACGGCACAGCTGAGATTAGCGAGCTCATCAGTGACCCAGCCAAGGAAGCCCGGCTGTGTGTCTACTATCATCATGTAAGTGTGACTTGATGTAGTCTCGGGCACGTACTGCTTTGAGCCTTTTTTCCTGACATAACAGAAATATTTCTTCTTTTCTTTCCTGAAATTTCAGCTGTTGAATGAGATCAGTGCAGTTGTAACTGATCATAAAGGTCCTCTGAGAGTGCACAGACCGGACTTCCAGGATGTCCTGTCTACACTGAAAGTGTGGGCAGAGCAGCTCGATCTGCTGAAGGTAAACACCAACAACCTGCCAAACTATCTCGAGCCCTCGGTTAGGTATGTGACGTTTGCTTTGAAGATGAACTTCCTGTGCATGCGTGCTTGTACGTAGGGTCTTCAGTGCAGTTTAAAAGAACTGTCTGTCAGACTAATGCCCTTACAACCATGCGATGGTGGTTATAACACTGACGAAGCAGCAGAGGTTGGAGACATGTTGCTGCTTGTAGACGCCATGCTGGAAAATGCCTCGGCTGATGATAAGGTACAAGTTTGTTACTCTTGTTTGTACTACTTTATCAGGCTGTTGTGTAAATGACACTGCAGGGCGCGGTGGCTCACATGTCTGAGCGTATACTTCAGAGAAGCCTGCTTATTGCAGCGTTTTCGTTCCTTGTTAGGTCCTCAGAAGCCCCACTCGACACACTCTGGAGTCCATGGTGTCTCATTTTCAGAAGCTGTTTGACGT